TCTTTAAAAAAAAAATCATAAGAGAAAATAGATTTACAATGCTGTACTATAAAAAATCTGCACGTAATTGGAAATTTTCATTGTTTCTCATCTGTCTCTCGTGCTTTTTACCCTGTATTCTCTGTCCTTTTGCATCTCCAAGATTCAAGTCTGAATATTTTCTTCTGATTCAGTTCCCAATTCCTTCTCTTTTTTTTTATTTTTATTTTTTTATTTTTTTAAATTTCTTTTCAGTGTAACAGTATTCATTGTTTTTGCACCACACCCAGTGCTCTATGCAATCCGTGTCCTCTCCAATACCCACCACCTGGTTCCCCCAACCTCCCACCCCCGCCCCTTCAACCCCCTCAGATTGTTTTTCAGAGTCCATAGTCTCTCATGGTTCACCTCCCCTTCCAATTTCCCCCAACTCCTTTCTCCTCTCTAACTCCCCTTGACCTCCATGCTATTTGTTATGTCCCATAAATAAGTGAAACCATATGATAATTGACTCTCTCTGCTTGACTTATTTCACTCAGCATAATCTCTTTTTCAGCTTTTACAACCTACTGGTAAACTCATGCCTTGCGTTCTTACTTTCAGAGATGGCACTTTTTATTTGCACAATTTTTATTTGGTTCCTTTTTATTGTTTCTAAAGTTTTCCAACTTATCATTTAATTTCTTGAATTACCAGCATTCTCCCCTTTGCTGAAGTGATTACTTAATTCAATAAATTTTTAAATGAGACAAAAATCTATATAAAACATGATGTCAAAAACAAAATCTATTTATCCCATTCCATTAGACCACTACAACAGAGTGGGTGGTTTCCCAGGATAATTCTTTTTATTTTTCATAAGATTTTATTTATTTATTGGAGAGGGAGCATGAGGAAGAGAGCACAAGACAGGTGGGGGGCGGGTGTGCAGAGGGAGAGGGAGAAGCAGACTCTCCACTGAACAGGGAGCCAGACCCTGGGATCTTGACCTGAGCTAAAGACAGACACCTAACCAACTGATCCACCCAGGGGACCCCAGAAAAATAATTCTTATAATGGCCCCATACATAGTCAAATGAGGAGAGCTGATAAACTGTCTCATAAAACTAAAACAATCTCCATAAATATCAGGCATCCTTCTGATGTTACAACTATGGTTAGAAATGTACATGATGGGAACTGCAAAATTCTTCAGGTCTTCATCAATAGTGGCCCCAATATAAAACTTTGTCTAAACATTCTCTGGTACTAGACCATCATCTGCATAGTTTCCTTTATGTGTGAGCATCATTCAGACATCGAAACCTTGCTAATCCTTAGAGCTGCCTAAGGTTCTGCCTTAACTCCTCAATTTCACCATTACACAATGCTTATACAAGAGATACATGTAGCATACGGACAGTCCATCTTTGTAGTATGTTTGGATTGGCTTTAATGACAAGTTGATAATTTGCATCAATTGGGATGTTGGTGGACCCAGTGGTGTGTTATATTAGTAACATATACAGGAAGACTGATGGAGGAAATTTCTCTTTCTTTAATACACTGGGACCTTTACTGACTTTGTCTTTAGGGTCTGATCATCTTTTCTTTTAGCCTCTTACCTCAGAAGCCAAGGATTTGCTTGATGGCCACAAATTCCTTGCTTTCTCTTGCTTCCCATGTTTACCCTGCAGTCTGGAAGCTTCCTCCAAAATCGGAGCCAAGGACAGTTACTTTAAAGTCCATGTTTAATAACTCTAATCTCTAGATTTCCTTTGGGTTTATTTCCATTCTTTTTTTTTTTTTTTTTTTGGTGTGAGTGCTATTTTATATTAAATGCCAAATATTTTTCATGAAAAACTGTAAAAATTAGTTGAAGCTTTGAATGATGTTATCTTCAGAGACTATTTACTTTTTTTTTTCTGGTGTATAGTAAGGGTAGAAGCAGATCAATTTAATACAGTTGGAGACTATGTAGATACAAAGGTGGATTTCAGGATTTTTTTTTCTTTTTTGAGAGTCAGTTTATTTCTTATTTACCCTTATTCCTAGAGTTTATCCCTTTAGGGCCCCAATTAAAAACCCAGGGTGTTTTCCAATCTCCCATCCTCCATGGCCAACCTAATTTTTGATCTCCAGTTTTCAGAGACACACATGTCCAAAGTTCCACACAAATTCTCTGCTTCTCAGCCACTCTTTGATTAGCAGATGTTCAAAGAGAACAGGAGCACCCACTGTGGCTCACAATTTTGGGCTTCCCCTCTCTCTGCATTCTTGGCCCTGTCTATTCTTTCTTCCGTGGTAAATCTCTGATGTCTCCAAACATACGTATTTTATTTTTTCCAGCTTTTCTAGCTCTTCTCAGATGGAGGATTAGTCTGAAGCAATCTAGCCCATCAATGGAGGAAATTAGGTGCCATCATATCAAAGTATTTTGCAAGACGTGTTTCATGTCACTGATAATGTAAACAGTAATTTCAAAACACACAGTGGGTGTCTAGAAATATTACTATTACCTGAAATATTAATGAAAGAGAAAATTGTCAAATCAATACCAGTATTTTAATATTTTCTTTATCATCAGTTTTACTGCAATTATATTTTGAGTATTTTGAGTAGACAGAATGCTTAGAGCAAATTATACAATACTTTTGAGACCGTATCCTTATTCCATTTATAAACTTTGTTTCTCACACAATCTTCTCCTATGTTACTAGGCTTTATGCGTTATTTCTTGTAAAAAAATTTTCTCGGTGTCATTACCTATAAGTCAGGTACAACGAATTATTTTTTTAAAGTCCAGCAGGACATCTGAATGTTATGTAGGACACATGACAATGCACTGTGTGATGGGACAATGAGCTGCAGGTGTCCGGCCTCCCTGGCGCAGTCACCAGGAGCATTCCCTTGGTAATTTTTTTAAAAGATTTTATTTATTTATTTGACAGAGAGAGATCACAATTAGGCGGGGGGGGGGGGGGGGAGCAGGCTTCCTGTTGAGCAGAGAGCCGGATGTGGGGCTCGATCTCAGGACCCCGAGATCATGACCTAAGCCAAAGGCAGAGGCTTAACCCACTGAACTACCCAGGCGTCCCCCACTTAGTAATTTTCAACAAGCAAAAGGCTTCCTCAAGTTTCCAAAATATCCTGTAGGACTCAGTATCACCTTTTTTGGAAACCCTACATTAAATGCATGAAATCATCCTTGTGGACAGTTCTAAGCCAGGTGTGTGTGGATCCCAAGGTCATCTTTAGAGCCCAAAGGGTAACATGGACCAGTCACACTGTAGGTCTGCTGCCTCCCACCTCTGATAACTCCTAAAGCCATCCAAAACTCAAGAGAAAACAGATTGGTGTTAATATCCAGGACAGGTAAATGTAAAGAAGGTAAAGAAGTCAACATACACCGTGACCTTTCTTCTTGGGTTAGGATGGGAGTGCTCCTGAGGAGGCTGAGTACCATCTTAAGAATAACTACTTGCCTCCTGGGGCTAATAATACATTATATGTTAATAAAATTTTTTTAAAAATAGACGAATAAAAACCCATGTAGACACACACTTAAAAAAAAAAAAGTACTTGGAATTGTCACCTTCCTGATTGCTCTCATGTTCTCTCAATCCTGCCCTTACCCAATAAAGAGGAATTATTATTCCCAATTTGGAGATGAGGAAACTGGGACTTAAATATTTAAGTGACTGCCCAAGATTTTTACAACTATTAAGCACTTCTGTGATTCCTCTGCAGTCCCTGCTCTACTCAAGGCTTCCAACTCTTTTAAATAAGCCCTGCAATTGCACTACTGGGTGTTTACCCCAAAGATATAGATGTAGTGAAAAGAAGGGCCATCTGTACCCCAATGTTTATAGCAGCAATGGCCACGGTTGCCAAACTGTGGAAAGAACCAAGATGCCCTTCAACGGATGAATGGATAAGGAAGATGTGGTCCATATACACTATGGAGTATTATGCCTCCATCAGAAAGGATGAATACCCAACTTTTGTAGCAACATGGACGGGACTGGAAGAGATTATGCTGAGTGAAATAAGTCAAGCAGAGAGAGTCAATTATCATATGGTTTCACTTATTTGTGGAGCATAACAAATAGCATGGAGGACATGGGGAGTTAGAAGAAGGCAGTTGGGGGAAATTGGAAGGGGAGGTGAACAATTGAGAGACTATGGACTCTGAAAAAGAATCTGAAGGGTTTGAAGAGGTGGGGGGGTGGAAGGTTGGGGGAACCAGGTGGTGGGTATTAGAGAGGGTACGGACTGCATGGAGCACTTGGTGTGGTACAAAAACAATTAATACTGTTATGCTGAAAATAAATTTTAAAAAATGATTAAAAAAATAAAATAAAATAAAAATAAATAAATAAGCCTTGTGCCTGGGGTGCCTGGGTGGCTAAGTCCTTAGGTGTTGGCTCAGGTCATGATCCCAGAGTCCTGGGATTGAGCCCCCCATCGGGCTCCTCGATGAGCCTGCTTCTCCCTCTCCCTGCTACTCCCCCCGCTTTTGCCCTCCGCGTCAGTATAATATTAAAAATAAATAAAAGCCTCGTGCGTGCCACGTTTAGAGATAGAAGGGGGCAACCTGCAGAAAAATTGGTCTAAGAGGTGCCTTATAAGGGAATTGTCTGGGCTAAGCTCCACTTAGTCCCCATTTCCCCTGCTGCAGGCGTTGTCCTGGGAGCCCACCCCACCCGCCACCACTGCAGGCGCTCTGTTTTCCTAGGTCATGATCCTGGCAGTCCAGATTTCGGGGCATTCTGAACCCAGTGTCCCGCTTCAGCAGCGCATTCCCGGTGGCCCAGCTTCCAAAGCCCTTCTGCTCAATCCCTCACCCGCGAAGCCGCCGTAGCCACGGGTCCAGCAAACCCTCCACCTGCTCCTAGCCACAGGCCACACTGCTCTCCGCCGCGGACTCAGCTGGGCCGGAGACCCCTCCCACTGCAGGCGCGCGCGGAGCCACTCCCCTTGTGTTCCCCTGCGTTCCCTTAGCAACGCGGTACACAATTGCTAGCCCGGCCTTGCGCGCGATGTGTTTCGGCAAAGCGGGTGCGCGGGGCTGAGGTGGAGGAATCAAGGGTAGAGGGCAGGAGGAAGAGTGGGGAGGCTGGAGGGCGGGGGGAGTCGTACCTTCCACGGGGTTCGGTCGGGTTTTTGTTCTTGGGGCCCAGTCCTGTCTCGGCCTCCCCACAACCTACGTGCCCCCAAGGGCGCTCACTTAGACGAAGGGGCCTTCCTCACGTGGAGTTTCTGCTCTTTCTGATCCTCAGAGTCGCTGGTTAGCTACCCCTTTGGTACACGTCAACAAAGGAAGCTCTTTCCTCATTACCACCCCCAAAACTTGTTGGGGAACAAGTTTCTCCCTCTTCGAGGAGCGCCCCACAGAGGGCCTGGATGTTACATAGCAGAAGATGTGAGTATACACCTCCCCTTGGGTGGGTCTCAGCGTCCTGTCTGCGAATACCCAGGCTCCGTGGAAGAAAAATTCGATGGGATTTGTGATCTTTGGGCTGGCAACATGAGAAGGTGTCCTGGTCCTCAGCACCCAGCTGTCAGAGCAAATGTCGGAAATTAAAAGACCCTTGCTCCCCACTTCCAACACCCTCCAAACGCAAGCCTTTCTAGCCTTTCTTCATATAGTCCTCTATATAGTCCCCACTCCATCCTCACCTTCCGAAGCCTCCGAACCAATGCCTCCCATTAGTCCAAACTGGGAATGTTGCTGTGCTGCTAGATCGGTTTGTGAAGGCCATCAGACTGAGGATGGGATTATGGCAAATTCAGCTCTGTGGGGCTTACAGGACGGGATTCACTGGAATGCACAGGAATGTCATTTACTCTGCCTAGGCAGCCACATTTCTTTGCAGACTGGTATACCAGACTTCCTTATAGAATTGTTGCTATGGTCTTCACTCAGAGGAGTCAAAAAAGAAAGAGCAACTTCTGCAAAAGAGTCAGATAAGAACATTTTGAGTTCATTCTGTTTTGATGTTTTAATATTCTCTGTGTGTTTCCTTTCTTTCTCTCTTTTTTTAAATATACTACCTGAAGGTATATGGATTGGCATACAACCTCTCTAAGATCCCGACCAGTAGAAAAGGATATACTTTTGGTGCCAGAACAGCTGAGAGGTTTAAGGCGATCAACAAGGTTAGAAATGGCTTGAATGTGCTTAGATTTTCGTGTGATCCATGTTGCTACATGTATTTGCATTGGGAAGCAAAGCGGGGAGAGTGGGAAGTTACCAAAAAATGTGCCCTGAAATTCAAGAAAAATATTTAGACGAACACTATGAAGAAATCTATCTGGAACGTTTAGGGGTTAGCATCTCAAACGTGTATGAGAGTCCTGGGAGCACAGAAAACAGTCCTTGAAAGAAATGGTATCAAGACCATTTCTTTGGGGCTGACACAGTTTATGTTCAAGTACCAAAGCTTAGTTTCTATATATCCTTTTATCTTGCCACTGAAAAAACAAATTGCTACTTTTGAACCCTTTGGTTTTCAAGTCTAAAAGTCTTCAGTACAGGATCCTAATCAGTTGTTGGATATTTTTCTGACACTGGAGCTCCGAGAGAGGGGTACTGGCTCTAAAGAGTCTCCAAGTAGGATGGAGGGGGCAGCAGTTGCAACAAGTCACTTTGGTCCTTTACCTCCTGCTGATCTCTTTCTACAGCCTCAGCGTATGTGTGTTTCAATAGCTGAATCCCATGTTTATCTTGGTTTTCTCCCTACTGTAGCCTTATATCTATAGCTGGGGTGGTAAAACTATAGCTGATACATGAACAGAAAGAGGATGAGTCGGTTTTCTTTAATTAGAGCCTTTATAAGTGTATATCTCACCCTCTAACATGTTTTCTTTTTCTGACAAACAGGACACGATGCTTTACCCAGGCATGTACCAGGCTGCAAATCCTCAGGAGCAAATACACAAACAAAATTTTGCTCCATTCAATGCCTCGTTGCCTCGATTTAAGACATACTCAAAGGACAATTCTTATCCTGGGTATGTCTTCTCTCTTCTGGAGCATTTCATCAAACAGCAATAGGAAAGGATGCACAAAGGAGGGGTTCCATCCAAACCATGCCTCTGAATAAGAAACCACCCACCCATCTTTAAAGAGCCAACCTCTGACCTTCCAGATCTCTGGCATTATAGAATTCTAAATCCTAGTGGTTCAGTCAATCAATAGTTATCAATGTGCTAGGCACTTCCAAGGGATCCAGAGGTTTTGTATTAAACCCATCGCACAAGGATCCTCATTCCTTGCAAATTACACTGCCAAATCTGGACAGATGAGAAGCAAATACACTTAAAAAAAATCAGTGGTAATAAGGACAGTTACCATATAATTTAGCAGTCAGACAGTGACCCTTCTGAAAGTGTGCTTACTAATTATGGCAAGACAGTAGCCATGAGCTAGGACTGTCACAGGCATACTGGGCAGTGTGGTGACCCAGTGATGCACTGTGAAGACAGTGAACAAGGTGGTGGTGATGGGATGGATGGCGCCACTTTGGCAAGGATGTCCAGGAAGGTCTTTAGGGGAAATGACACTTGACCTGAAGTCTGAATGACGAGACTGAGCCAGCCTGTGAAGATCTGGGCCAGGGCTTCCTAGGAAGGAGGAGCTACAAGTGCAAAGGCTGTAAGCTGGGGAGGAATGGGTGGGAGGAATAAGGGGGAGGCTGGTGTGGCTAGAGTGTGAGCAGAGAGGAACTGAAGACAGAGCAGGGGGGCGGAGGCTGAGCACGTGGCCCTTGTAGACCCAGTGTTTCAGGAAGCCACTCAGCATGGGTGGAACTGCAGGGCAAAGAGTCAAGGTCTTTTTTGGTTCATGAGAAATGCAGGGATCAGTGAATGAGTGTAACTTTCTCCAGGCTGCATTAAGGAAGTGGAAGTGTTGAATATTGGCCCCGTGCTGATTCTAAGTACTATTTCTTTCTTTTTTTTTAAGATTTATTTATTTATTTATTTGACAGAGAGAGCAAGAGACACAAGCAGGCAGAGCAGAAGAGGGAGAGGGAGAAGCAAGCTCCCCACTGAGCACGGAGCCCAATGCGGGGCTCAATCCCAGGACCCTGGGATCATGACCTGAGCCGAAGGCAGTCGCTTAACCAACTGAGCCACCTAGGTGCCCCTAAGTACTATTTCTAACGCAGCAAAAAGTCTACACCAAAGACCAAGTGTTATGAACAAAGGCAACTATAATATAATGCCACCTCAGTCAAACTTTAACTGGTTCTGCCTCCTTATCCTGAGATTGAATAATCATCACTCTCTTACTCCCAGTTTCAAATCACGGGCAGTACTTACTCACGATGGTGGTAGACTCTTTCCTCACCCACCCCTCCTGGGATCTCAGCCAAGGATACTGGGTTGCAGAAATATTTTTCGAACTAGAATCGATTTTAATCTTAACTGGGATGTCAAGACTAGATATATTTATTTTTTAAATGTTATTTATTTGAGAGAAATAGATAAAGGGAGGGGAGTGGGAGAGGGAGAGGGGGAGAAGGAGAAAGAGAAGCAGGTTCCTCTCTGAGCAAGGAACCCAGTGTGGAGCTTAGTCCCAGGACCCTGGGATCATGACGTGAGCCAAAGGCAGAGCTTAACTGACTGAGCCACCCAGGCGTCCCAAGACTAAATATCTGTAACACTCACAGCTAATCGGAAATACATTAAGAGGCAAGAAAACCCCACAGTTGCCCCACATTAGAAAGATAATTGGCCTGTTGACTTTTCTCAAAGAATTAGGCCAAGTTCAAGGATAGCTGTGGTACTGATGGAGTTCGTATATGGTCACTAAGTTATTACACATGATGCTTAAATTTTTATTTCTAGTCCTGGCACATACAACCCGGAGATGAAGCCACCCCCCAAAATCACTTGGCCAATGAAATTTGGATCTCCAGACTGGGCTCAGGTACCATGTCTACAGAAAAGAACCCTAAAAGCTGAGGTAAGAAGACTTGAATTTATGTAGAGCCCTCTCTCTGGTACTTTCATATGTATCAGGGCTTCTTATCCAGAAAGAGCTGCAGGAAGTCCTTGCTCCCCTGACAGTATATGTTTGTGCGGTTTTGTGCAGATATGCATATGAGAATCCTTTTGGAGAGTCACCCAGTTTCATTAGATTTTTATAGGTGGCTATGAACGACGAAAGTCGCATTTTCATACTTAATCCTCAAATAATGTTCTGGTACAGGAACAGGACAATTATATCTTGGTGATGGAGGAGAGAAATCAGACTCTGATGGATTAAGTGATCTGTGCAAGCTGACAACTTGAATCTAGATCTTGTGACTCCTAGGCCAGTGCTCTTTCCATATACCACTAGAGTATCAGATCATGAGGGGGCTGTAGAGCATTCTGGTAAGAAGATGGATTCAGGGGACAGACTGCCTGGGTTCAAATACTAGCTCCCATATTGCTGACTGGGTGATCTCAGGCAAGTTTTCTAAGCCGCAGTTTTCCTTCTTTAAAAATGGATATTATAATAGAATCAATTTGATACGGTTTTAAAGATCAAGCTAATGTAGAAAAGCATTTAACATAGTACATATAACGTAATAAATATTCAACCCATGTGAGCTATCATAATTTCAGAGGTGCTATTTTTTTTAAAGATTTTATTTATTTATTTGACAGAGAGAGAGATCACAAGTAGACGGAGAGGCAGGCAGAGAGAGAGAGAGAGGGAAGCAGGCTCCCTGCTGAGCAGAGAGCCTGATGCGTGACTCGATCCCAGGACCCTGAGATCATGACCTGAGCCGAAGGCAGCGGCTTAACCCACTGAGCCACCCAGGTGCCCCTCAGAGGTGCTATTTTTTAAGAGGAAATTTGGGTTAATTCCACAACTATTTGTTAAACGCCTAATGTATCAACATCATCACGCTAGACCTCTGAGTAACATTCAGGAATCAAATGCATATCTTTGTTTTTGAGAAGCTTACCAGGAATACTTGGAGACTTACCAAGTCCTAGCATGACCGCACAGGGAGATGACAGAGAGCAGCTGTACATTGACAGAATCCTAAGACTTGGTTCCTATGGGGTGGGCTTCAGCTCTGATGTGCACTTCTATTTTGCAAGTCAGGAAGACCAGAGGCAGAGGTATCGCATCAGAATATTGACCCAGACAATATTCCTTCATTGCAGTTGTCCACCGACAAGGACTTCAGAAAGCACCGGAACCGTGTGGCCTACCTAAGCCTGTTTTACAATTGAGGTGCTGTGACTACCTTCACGCGCCCCTTCTGACCACGGATCCAGGACTGAGGACAGGGCTGCTCTTCCCCCCTGCACTGCTGTGCTCGCTGTCTGCCAGCATGGGACCCAGGGAGGGAAGGGGCTCCCAACTCCTATGTGAGAACAGAAAGACTACATCAGAGCATTCTGTGTCCATGTGCTGGTTTGTCATGTACATATGTAGATGGGCCTGGGGGGGTCCTGCCCAATGTTCAGTGTGGTGGCTCCATTTTACTGAAATACTCATGGGTCTCTGTCCTCACGCTCTAATTCCCAGTCTTATGTGTTCTACCACGAGCCCTGGGGACAGGGGCTGTTGGCCTCACCATTGACTGGATGGTCAGTTTGGATTGGATTGGATGGCCACCTTGGACTTATTCATGGGCTTGCTATACTCAGAGGGTACTGACAGGCAGGGTAAACATTTATTTTTAAGAAAACTTTATTTTTAAGAAAACTGTCCAGATTTCTGAGTTTCTGAGTTTCTGACATGCATGGGCAGGTCAAGAATTTGTTCCCTTTCCCAGACTGATATTAAACTCACTGGATCAGAAATTCCTCACTTCCCATTACCTCATCTATGTCATTTGTCAGTCATCATATTAATTGAGTTCCTACCATCTGTCAGGAAGTGTGGCAAGGACTGGGAATGTAGCAGGAATCAAAATAACCTCATCTCCTGGTCTGGAAGCCACAGAAGCAATGTCCTGCTGTAGACATATTCTGGGACTGTCTGACTTGCTGGAACACACCCTCTAGGCCCTGGAAATGCTCTATGTGGTTCCTTTAGCACTTTCTAGAAACCCACAGGGAGCGTCACTTTTATATTCTGGACCTTGAGCACATGGAAAAGGGAGAGAAAGCAACAGTGTGAAAAACCAGAGGTCTAAAGGCCTGTGTGTGGAGGGGAGGTGTCAGGGGACAAGCCAGGACAAGAGAGAAATGGTATGGAAAAATCCAAACTGAGGCATGGTCCATTGAAGCTGGGGGCTGGATCTCTGCTCCCTGCTCCTTGCTGGAGAGACAAAACAGCTAGGGTCTGTGTGACTTAGCAGCTCAAAGCAGCACCATCCCATCTCGGCTGCCATCCAGCACAAAGCTTGGGGCCCCAGGCCCTCTACATAAGATCTGAGCCTAGAGGGACCTTAGTGTCTCTGTGAAAGGGGAACAGCTGCAGAAGGCAGAGTACCAGAAATCCAGCCTAAAGCCTGCTTCCGGGTCTACATTTGTCCATTCCTGAGCCCCATCTCCCCACCAACCGCCCAGCCTATTTTCTTGGCAGAGCCCCCACTTGCTGTGGCCAAGTTCAGAGAACTCATGACACATCAAATCTTCTCAACAAGATAGTATTCTTCTGCACATGGCTTTGATGGCGAATGACACACGGAAGCAGGCAGGCCTTAAACTCCTACCGTCATGGCCAAAAAGCAGATTTTGAGATTTCTGGTGACGTTTGCATAGTAAGAGCTGGGTCAAAGTGGAACTAAGAAAGGGGGAAGCCAAGACCTCACCACTACTGGTTGGCTCTAAATTCTGGATTTAGGGGTGAGATACAAAGGGGTCTTTCATTCTGTTTAGGTCTTTTAGCCATGACTATGAGCCCAGGAAAATGGACAGAGTTCTAGAGCAGAAGCTCTACCAGGAACAAAGGATATGCCTCTATCTGAAATTGAGTCTCCATGGAAGCTAGAACGTGGGGGACCCCAGTTGAAGGCTAGAGAACAGCAGAGGAGCCTGCCAGCAGAGCCCTCTTCCTCAAATATCTGATCATTGGTCTCTCCTCCACAAAAACCCATATGGGTCCCCTTGACAGAAGAATCAAATCTGGACATTTCGCAAGGTCCTGCCCATCTGACCGCAGCCCACCTTGGCTGCCTCCTCTCCTGCTATCCCCTCCAGGTACCTTGTGTCCACCTGCTGGCATTTCCTGCTGCTCTACAATTGCACAAACTCTCTCCAGCCTCTGTGCTTGTCCTTAGGCCAGTTTCTGCATGAGATCCCTTTTCTAACTTTCTCTACCCAGTGAGTTCCTACACATGCTTCAGGGTGAAATCTAACAGGGTTTCCTTTGTGATACCTTCCTCTCGCCTGCTGCTCTCAGGCACCTTTTTCCCTGTAACAGTCTCTATGTCACTTGTATTACCGTGAATTTGGTTGTATAGCAGGCATTGCTAAGGACTTGTTATCACAAGACATGTCAGATCTGGGGACTTAAAGAGAAAAATGAACAATCTCTTCCCTTTGATCATAATGAGTTGGGGAGAGAGACATGCCATGGGTACAGTGTGATGTGTAGTGAAATGTCAGACGTAGAAGGTGCTGTGGGGGGAGGGAAGGAGGAGTAATGACCTCTCATAGTGGGTGGGAGGGTAGGCAGAGGACACGCAGAAAGATTCAGGGATCAGGGAAGATTTGACTTACACAAAGAGATTTCAATAAATACTTTATGAATAAATTAATGATATTTCATCAGTGATGATGGCACAAGTAGTAAATGGAAAGAAAACTCAGAACGTGTTTTACAAGTAGAACCCAAATATAGACTGGGTTCCATGTGACCACTTTCTGCATGAATTCATGTTTAAAAACCATGTTACAGCTGCCCAAAACAAAGAGAAATTCCAATGTTTATATCTCTTACAGAACATTAAAAAGTCTCTGATTTGTGAGCATAGGCAACATTTCTCAAAATCTTCATCCTACATTCCCCTCCAAGATGTTGCTGTGGAACATTTCCCCCAAGAAACTCCAAATTCCAAATCTCTATTTTCACCTCTCCCATCCACAGTTTCTTCCCCTTCTCTCTTCCCTGTTACCTTCCGACTTTTTTAAAATTTCGTTTGCTCCTCATTCCTTTTACATTTTTTGACCCACTAGCATCTTCTTCCTCTGTGCGTGCGCGCATGTGGTGTGTGTGTGTGTGTGTGTGTGTGTGTGTGTGTGTGTGTGTGTGTTTCTGTCCACAGACCTTCAGTTTCTACCACATAAGACACAAGAATCAGACAGGCAAGATCTTTACTAGTGTGGTGGGGACAGAGTAACATATTGCAAGGTGGGGAACACTCCCATATCAATAAATCTTGTCCCTGTCCTACAATGAGGCAGAGGCAGGAACCATGGCTGAAGGGGTAGGAATGAGGATGCAGGTGAATTGGGGCTGAGCTGAGTTCCCTTCCCTTTGACAGAAAAGGCTGTGTTTCCCACGAGAGAAACACAACAGAAAGAGAAAGGAATGGCCAGAGTTCAGACATTACCCAACTCCATAAGATCAATTCCATTGTGTGTTGGTGGAGGGGAATGATGCAATGATGAAGGAAAATGTACTCCTCCATTCACCACTATCACTCCCACACATCTAGATGGTGAATTCTTTGCATCTTTCTTCCCAGGTACATCCTTCTAATTACATTTCTTGCAAGAATTTTGGGTCCCAGAGCAGTTCCAGTTTTTACCTCCCTAAAGGTGGCATTACTGCATTAGAAGAACCCACTGCGGATGATTGTTCATAACCTACTGTGGATTGCAAGTTCAGGCACTGGGCTTGCTTCAGACAGGAAACATGCTCATGAGCAATAGGCTGATAGAAAATTCCTAGTGAGCCAACACCATGTCTTATTTGTCATCATGTGCCTCTGTGCCATTCACAGAGCAGACTTTATCATATAGCAACACGACAAAAAAACTTAATACATTGATCTGGATCCGATTTTTTTAACTTTATTTTTTATATACATATAATATATTTTTATCCCCAGGGGTACAGGTCTGTGGATCACCAGGTTTACACACTTCACATCACTCACCATAGCACATACCCTCCCCAATGTCCATAATCCCACCCCCACTCTCCCAACCCCCCTTCCCCCATCAACCCTCAGTTTGTTTTGTGAGATTGAGAGTCACTTATGGTTTGTCTCCCTCCCAATCCCATCTTTTAACAGTAATTGTATGATTACCCATCCACACCTCACTTTCTTTTTTTTTTTTAAGATTTTATTTATTTATTTGACAGAGAGAGCACAAGTAGGCAGAGAGGCAGGCAGAGAGAGAGGGGAGGAAGCGGACTCCCTGCCAAGTAGAGAGCCCGATGCGGGATTCGATCCCAGGACCCTGAGATCATGACCTGAGCCGAAGGCAGAGGCCTAACCCACTGAGCCACCCAGGCTCCCCACACCTCACTTTCTTCCACTGTAAAATGAGATTGGGTTTCAAAACTCAAAAGCTTTAAGCCCCAGGTAGATAAACTCATATGTGAGCAGGCTGAGAGCTCCCATAGTGAGTAGGGAAGAAAGGGGTCTGTGAAAATACCCCATTTAATGAAAAAAATTCATTAAAACTGTGATGCTGTCTCAAAAAGAACCACCATTTTGTCATCTGAGCTGTCCTCAGACCACCAGTTTGAAATGTTCTCTAAGGTTTCTCTTTCTTCTCTAACTTTCAAGAATGGAGAGAAGAATGTGTTAGAAGGAATAGTGCTGGGAGGGCTGGTCACCTCCACCAGAATGTAGGAGCTACTGTGTCCTTAATCTCTGCGCTGTGGGTCCTCACTCAGGGAGCTCTGCCCTGTGTTCTCACCCATTGATCAATTCACAGATCCCCCAAAGAATTGTTGCTAACTTTCAGTTTAGAATAAACCTTTTTTTAATGTTCATTTAGCCACATCATTAGTTTTTATGTAGTGTTCAATGATTAATTAGTTGCATAGAACACCCAGTGCTCATCACAATACGTGCCCTCCTTAATGCCCATCACCCAGCCACCCCATCCTTTCACCCCCACGTCTGAAACCATCAGTTTATTTCCCCCAGTGCATAGTCTCATAGTTTGTCTCCCTCTCTGATTTCTCCCCCTTCAATTTTCCCTCCCTTCCCCTATGATCCTCCATGATATTTCATATATTCCACATATAAGTGAAACCATATGATAATTGTCTTTTTCTGGTTGATGCATTTCCCTAAGTATAACCCCCTCCAGTTCCA